GATCATCAAGAGAGTGCATGACTTTAACGTCGAAGCTCATATCTACCAACACACTGCACTAAGAGACATCATGAAGTGGTGCAAGAGAACCCCAAATCAGCCGTTGTTCGACAATCTTTTCGCATACCAAGTCGCACAAGGAGACGAGGAGTGGGCAAGGAACGATGTTTGGGAGATCTTGGATGGTGACGCTGTCGCTGACTATCCTTTGGCTTTGGAAATCGAGCAGAAGACTAGTGGCGTGTTCAAACTGACCTTAGTTACTCAAGGTCATGTCGCAGATGAAACCCTAGCAGATGAACTTCTTGATCGATTCGAGGCTGTATTCCGGCAGATCTTGCAAGATGCGTCTTGCATACCAGAATCGAATGCTAGAGTGAACGGTATAGCAGAAAACGGAACTGTTCTTGAGACTGAAGCGATCCGGGATATTGGTGACACAATTCATTTCGAATGGACAAGCGAGGCGGTCAAGATTAAGGAAGAGATTGCTAACCTATCCGGTCTTGATCTCGATGGTATCAATGGAGCTACTTCTATCTTTGAACTTGGACTCGACAGCATCGATGCTATCAAGTTATCTTCAAAGCTAAAGAAACGTGGAGTGAACATTCCCGTAAGTGGCATCATGCGCGGACTGACCATCTCGAAAATGGTGCAGCACATCTCAACCAGGGAAACACCAGACAGAGAGTCTTCCCAGTGGGATCTTGACCCCTTCAAACAGTCAATGAAAAGACATCTCGAGCAACGTTCGTCTGATACCGCTGGCATTCAAGAGGTGCTTCCCTTGACACCATTACAAGAAGCCATGGTGGCAGAGATGATTGCATCAGGATACACGAGATACTACAACCACGACGTGCTCAAGCTTCGTCCTGGAGTTGACATCGGGAAGCTTCGAGACGCCTGGAGTGCAGTCATTGCAGCCTCACCGATCTTACGGACTGGATTTGTAGAGGTAGATGACCCAGAGATCTACGGTTCTTTTGCACAGATCGTCCACAGAAGGTGCCATAACTTCTGGTCACACCTCAAGCTGGAGAGTACGCCAGACTTCACGTCAATATTCGACGAACTTCGACATGACACCGTACAGAATTCGCTGTCAACACCTGCCTTCCGACTTAGCTTTATCGATACTCCGGATCAATCCTACCTTGTTCTCTCTATCGGACACGCCTTATACGATGGATGGTCACTTAGCTTACTGCACGTCGACGTGCACCGAGCATACAAAGATCAATTCAGTCCTCGACCCGACTACGAACGTTCACTGGCAGACATTATCGCGACTTCCGGATCTGCCTCTGCAAGCTTTTGGCAAGACTATCTCTCTGACGCCGAGCAGAGCCTTTTTCCTCGACGATCGGATGCCTCTAGTGAACTCGGTAGCTACGTTCATCGCCATGAGCAAAACAGCGTAGTAAGAGTAGACAAGCTTCAAGCTTTCGCAAGGAGTAGCAATGTGTCACTGCAAACCATTGGTCAATCGGTCTTCGCTCTTGTCTCTGCATTCTATACTCAGAGCTTGGATATCACTTTCGGATCCGTACTTTCTGGAAGGGACGACAGTGAGCGATCTCAGCTGATGTTTCCAACCATGAATACAGTCGCCATACGGGTAATTTTGCATGGATCTGGAACAGATATGCTGCATTACGTACAAGACAACTTTACAAACATCAAGCAGTGGCAGCACTACCCCCTGCGGAAAGCTCTATCCGCGGCTGGTGTTGATGGTAGACTGTTCGAGAGTTTATTTATCTATCAGAAGAGCTCAGACACAGGGCAAGAACAAGATGAGGAAGAAAAGCTATATTCCAGTATTGAGGGCCACAGTGACATCGAATATCCTGTGTGTATGGAGATGGAAGTGGTGAATGAGGTGTTGGTATGGCGTTGTGCGGTCAAAGAGGAGGTTCTTGACAGAGAAGCGTCGAAGGAGCTATTGAATCGGATGGATGACGTGCTCAGCTACCTAATCGACCGATCAGAGGCACCTGTCATCGAGATCACCGCAAAGGGCACGTCAGTATGTGGCTTGCCGGCTTTCACGAAGAAGTCGTCTCGTACGATCGGTAATTCTCAGGCAATCGGAGTAAACAATACTAGAGATATACCAAGCACGGAAACAGCTATCAAGATCCGCGAAACCCTAGCCTCGGTATCCAAGACATCCGAAGATGAAATCACGAGCGATACGACTATCTTCCACATGGGACTGGACTCTATTAGTGCGATCAAAGTCTCTTCCCTTCTTCGCAAGCAAGGCATTGTTCTCAGCGTTGGTGATATGCTTCGGGCTGGTACGATCCAGAACATGGCCAGGCTATTGGACGAGCGTGCCGTACAGACTCTGGAAAACAATGCCGATCCTCATGAAATCATTCAAGAAATTACAGGAGGTCTGGATAGAGCAGGAATCTTGAACCGAGCTGGGGTCGACAATGCCGGTGTTACCGATATTCTGCCAGTTACTGCCGGGCAGCTTTACATGCTCTCAATGTGGCTGAACACCAAAGGGAGCAACTTCTACGCGGAGTTCACTTACGAGATACATGGTGTTATGGAATTCGGTGACCTCAAAAACTCATGGCAAGCCTTGATCGAGACAACTCCTGTTCTGCGGACTTTCTTCGCATCTTCTGGCGATGAACGAATGCCGTACGTAGCAATCGTGTCGAAAGATACAAGAGCATCTATCACAAACGTTACTGGCGATGAGCATGACAACCTAGCCAAGCATTTGCTAAGTATCGCTACCAGGCAACCCTTGGTGCACCTCTTCGCCTCGCAAACGGTGAGTGGCTGGGCATTGAAACTCAAAATCCAACATGCACTGTACGATGGTGTTAGTTTGCCCCTCATGATGCAACAGTTTCAATCTATCTGCAATGGCGCCACACCACCTTTACCGGATGATACGTTCGCCCAGGTGGCCGCTAGCGGCCACACAGCATCAGCGATGATGGAGAAGAAGACCTTCTGGACGGGATATCTCGCAAGTCTGTCACAAAGCCATCTGATCCAGCCGTCTAGGAGCCCAAGAATGAAGACAGAGGTTTTCGTTCCAGCCTTGCTATCGACCTCGAATCTGGAGGCCACTGCTCGTCGACATGGTGTTTCAGCGCAATCAATCTTCCTCGCTGCGTACGCAAAAATCTATGCTGTAAACTCATCCAGCCGAGACGATGAGGACGTAGTCATTGGAGTCTACCTTGCGAATCGCTCGCTGCCTATCGATGGTGTAGCATCTGCAGTTGTACCTACAGTCAACTTGCTACCACTTCGCGTGAAGACGCCACTCGGTCGAGAGCTTACAGAGCTAGCTGGCGAAGTTCAACATGATCTCCAAGACATCAGCAACCCATCGAATGCGTCTGCAAGCCTTTTTGAGATCAAGGAGTGGACTGGTGTCCAGGTCGATACATTCGTCAATTTTCTCTCTCTACCAGATACACAAGTGGCGGAGGGAGATACCCATAATAGGGAGGGCATCACAATCAACCCAGCTCAACACTGGCAGGAATCAGTCGGTAGGGTATCCACAATCGAGGATTGCAGCTTTGAGATACCTACTGGGCTAGTGAATGAGCGCGTGAACGGGGCATACTTGGTAAGTTGATATGAGCGACAAGATACAGCTGAATTGGAGAGAGACTAACAGACACATAGCATGCTGTCGATGTCGAGGCCACAATACGCAATGGTGCTCTGGATGTAGGCATCTTCGCACCAACTGAGATGACAAGTCTACAAGACGGCGAGGAGCTGGTACGAGATCTGAGGAGACAACTCGAAGAGTTGTAAAAGTGTATCTTCTTTCATTAATCTCTGGAATTGAAGAACAACAGGCGTCTGGCTTCTTTACAAGTACTTGATTTTCATAGTTGAATCTGTTGCAGCTTCTTCATGACTTAATCTGGATTCATAACTTATATAGACCTTCCACAATATAGTTTCGCTCAACCTACCCTGGTCCCCTTCAGCTACCTGCCTATCCGCCCAAACGCTCCACTCAGCGTCAAAACTCTCATTGTCCAAAGCACGACTGTAATTGCCACATTCCCCATCATAACCTCGTTATAGCTATCGAAATTCCAAAACACCTCGCTGCCCATGCCTATGTAGTTCGCCCACATGTGACCCATATCCCCGCACGCCAGTATCATCAGGTAATATCGTGTGGTGCGTACATCTCGTGTGACGGATGTGCAGAGGATGTTCAAGGCGGCGAGCATCAAGAAAAGGCTGCCAAGGGAGTAGGCGAGGAGTATAGCAGTAGGAGGTGGAGGCGTTGGGGAGAGGGAAACGGGGAGCTGGCGCTTCGTGAAAGAGATGGGATCTGTAAAGGCGGCATGGGCGCCTAGGAGCTCCGACACTATAGTTTATTAGCTCTGGAGGGCTTTTAATTGGTAGAGAAGGTATTCACGGTCCCGTGGGACACGTCTAGGTGCTGGCGCATAGCGTTGGAGAAGAAGGAGAGACTGGGCTTACTTGGCTCTAGGTAAGTAAATACCAAGGCTGGCCAGAAAGGAAGGCTTGTTCCCAATGCCATAGCAAAGTCGACTAGGAGTTACGGGTTTTAAACTACAAACTGAGATTGGCCTTGACTTGATTACGCGTACCTGTGTGCGATCTTGTTGTATGGCGCGCCATGGCTCGACACGCGCGGGCATGTGTTCGGAATCAACTCGGAAAGATTCCGATGCAGTCCGGCAAAAATAGGGCTTCACGCATGGATGAAGATTCCACAGTAGTTGATACAGGTAATCATTAATATTGACTCTATACTATAATATCGTGGTATCTCCAGAGACCATTAACGCCTCGCTATCATAATCGTCAAATCGGAGTTGCCAACTTCGCATCTCCAGTAAACGCCCTACTTAAGCTCTGTTCCCAGTATTACATCAACTGCACCTCACACTCGGTAGATATGTAGCCCTATGCTACAGAGTGACATATCTGAGATGCCTACCAGCCCAAGCTGCAACTTAGACCATCTGCTCACCATGCCTGTCAGCACCGACAGGTTTCCTCTGAACACGGCTCGAGGCACTGCCATGGTGGCCATGAGCAGGGCCGTCAGGGTGTGGCATCATGGTACCCCTAGGACCATCTGCAGCATCGAACGGCGCACCGCCCCAGCTAGTTCCCTCAATTGTACCCCATCCGGCCTTGCGAGTGAAGACGGTATCGTGGAAACCATCGAAAGAGCTTGGGCCGGCGCCATAGACGAAAGGAGCATGACGCATAAGAGGGATATGGTTGAAGCGAAAGTCCCAGACTGAGGCGTAGGTCATGCGGTAGGCGCTGAAAGCCATGAAGGTACCAATGACAGCTCCGGCAAGGATATCATACTGGGTATCTGTTAGCAATGATCTCGATATTTGAAGTGACAGTTGTAAAGACTTACCCAGTTGTGGTATTCGTCGATGGTCAGGGCACCGCCGATCAAGCAGGCTCCAAGGATAGGTGCGTAAAGAGCGATGAGCTTCCACATAGCCGGGTGATGGTTGGAGAAGACCTTCAACTTGGCGTTGAGGTACAGATACAGGTAGACAAATCCAGCGAAGGCAGCCGTGGTGTGGCCAGAGGGCATGGACTCGAGACTGTCGTTGATCTCCTTCCTGTCACCTGTGCAGATGCTGCGGTCGAACATGATCTGGCGGTATCCATTTGCGACGTTACCGTACGCGCTACCAGCATCAACGCCATTGTCGTTGGTGCCGACGGTCGGGAGAAGTTCGGCAGGGATGACAGGCTTGCAGACAGCAAGGAAGTGAGGGCGCAGACCACCAATAAGCCACTTGATGAAGACTTGAAAGACGGCGGCGGTGATCAAGGCGTAGAGCAGACCAATGGTTGCGTTGTTGATGTCCCAGAAGCTGCGAGCGCGGATCTGAACGATCAGGAAGACAGCAAAGGGAATGAAGAAAGCCATCAGAGCAGCAGCCCAAATCGGAACGATCTCGTTACGCATAGGGTAAGCGAACTGGGGATAGACGATCTCACCATCTTGGAAGATGATGGGGAAGCTGCGGCTTGGTGCTGGGTCAGCGAAGTAAACACCAAGACCGACAGCGCCCATGAGAGCCATAGTCAGGATATCGAGCCAGGTAGCCTTGAGCCATGATCCAAATCCAGGTCTGCTGTTGTAGGACGACGAGCCGCCTTTGGATGAACGCCTGGGTCTAGTCCGCTTCTCGTGAGCACCAGTTGCCGTTGTAGTGTCTGCGGCGACAGGCGTCGTGTTGCGCTTGTTAAAGAAACCCATGTTTGTGAATGGTGGGTATGGTTGTCGTGATGCTCTGCTGAGGTGCTAGAGAGAGGTATCTATACGTCGTGCTGATGACGTATTGTTGTCTTTGTTGTGATTGTTTGCTCCGGAAAGGGTAGTCTGGGACAGCAAACCGCGTAGCGTGCCAGCGAAGCAAGCAGTACCCTACACTTAGCGTACCGACAGAGTATTCAAAGTGGATGAAGATAGGGTTGGGCCTTGTGAAAACTGGACAGAGAGGCTTGCGATACGTCCCTTATATTCTAGGTCGGCAGCCCCCAAAGCTAATCTTCCCACGACACACCGTCACACGCTCACGTATTCTGCGAAACGACATCATTGCTCGCACCTCTCCCGCCGCATTGGTAAATTATCAGCCACAAACCTGTTACTAACCCTGCTTTGATCCTCGATCTGAACGGTTGGCGGCATAGTGATGTGGAGGAAATGAAGATCTTAACGCGATCAAGCGACCTGAGACAAGGAATCTTGGAAGCTGGCAAAAGCTTGGTTCGCGATGAAAAGCTTGGTTATCCTAGCGGTGGCTTCTGTGTGGCTGGTAGAGTGGCAGTGATGTAATAAGTGGCTACACGGCACATTTGATGCCGGATTGTCCTTTATTTCTTCACGATGTGTGGCGCTGCGTCGATGGTGTCGCGTAACCTGCATGTTTCGGTTTTCAGTGTGGATGACCGCGAATGACCTTAAGTGACGTCAGATCGTACAGTTATTTGAAGTCTAGAACGGCCACTCTTCCATGATTTAGCAATACTTCAGTTTATATTTATGCGAAACATATTAGCGGCGTTCTGACTGATGAAGAACGGAGACGCGTCTCCAGGTACAAATACTGCTTGATTAGTTGTGCTGCAAAACTTGCCTGTCTCACGCAATCGTTATGGAGCATCGCAGGAAAATACGTATAATTTCAAATACAATAAAATCTGGGTATGACAACGACGCGCAACGTGTGAAAACTGCATTCAGCCCAAAAAGTCCCTGGAAGCCAATGGGCGCACCCTTCAACCAGCCGCTTTAACGTCCTTACTCTCTCTCTCTCTCTCTCTCTCTCTCTCTCTCTCTCTCTCTGGGTATCATCCGCCTTCAAATATCTCAAAACTCCTTCCCCTCTCAACTGTGTGTGTATGCCACTATGTGCGATCCCCACATTGCCTAAGAGTGGATGTGTACCTCAGTGGTTCCACTGCGGTGCCAAGTCGCAAGCAGCACACCACAGCGGCCACACTTGTGCTGAACGTCCTTGAGCGAGTTCATCACGTAGGGGATGCATCCTAAGCAGCAAAGACAGCACAGACCGAGAGCCCAGGCGTGTGTGGTGTTTCCCGTCTCAAACGCGACGTTGGTCATGGCGCGTTGTCCGCACGCGGGACAATCTGCAGGCGCAGGACCGCGGTTTAGGCTTGCAATTGGTGTTGCGTTCTGGTAGACGGCTCCGCTTTGTTGCTGGGGAGGCATGCCGGGCTGAACGCCAGCATGGTCGGGCTGGATGTATGCGCCTTGGGGGTGTTGGGGTGGCGGTGAGCCAGCAGGCTGGCCTTGAGGATGTTGCGCGTACATGGCTGGTTGCTGTTGGTATTGTTGCGCGTTTGGATCTTGATGATAGATAGGTGGTTGGCCGGTCATGTCTGGTGACTGAGGATATTGCTGCATAGGTACTTCGAAACTGTCAGCAAGAGACCCATTGTGTTGAAGGTTTGGAAATTAAAGGCTGGAGAGCGGCGTGGTTATTCCAAACAATCATGCAAGTTCACTCGAATGCATTGAATTGTGTGAGGATGAAGCGCAATGTCATAAGGAAGGCGACTGCTTACCATTTTGCTTCTCCATTGCGAAGGTTTGTATTGTCAAAGTCAGTAGGATGTTAAGTCTGGGTGTTGCGGTGGTGAGAAAACAGCCAGAGTTGTCGAGTAGTGTTGGAACAGCGGTACACTAGATATAAGAATAGTCGTGGGTTTTATCAAAGCATTAAGGCGTTCCGTATCGCTTGGGTCCATAGCCAAGGGGGCTCAAGGCCGGGTGTCGCGAGCACAGCCCTCATTTCGCGTGAAGATCAGTCGCCCTTGTCTCCGCGTAAGGCTCCTAGCTGGTGAACGAGGCCAATGAGCAGTCCCAAGCTCCTACACGTAGCATGATTACATGCACGCCTCCAGCCTCAGCTGCCTGCATTCGGGATAAGTTGACGGGCGTTGGCGACGTTGGCGATGGAAGGGTGTCAATAGCGCGCCAGGGAAAAGCGAGCCAAGGCTGCAATTTCCCGAACCAGTTTGGTGGTGTGCTAGAGCTTGGGGGCCAAATCTACACCACCTTCGTCTTTGTGCAAAGTCGTATTAAAACGCCTTGCTGACTAGCTGCGCCGCAACGGGCATCGGCATGTTTTCTCGCCACGTCTGCTTGGCCACATCACTTCAATCCTCGAGAATAGACACCTGATTGAAGTATGATGATATTCGATATTAGGCGTAAGGCTGTGCAGTCTGCAACAGCGATCAGCACGTGAATACAAGAAATGTATGTACTAGCGTTTGGGGGCTGGCTGTTCCTGCAGGCGCCTATATTTGAGACCATGTGCAGCATTTGGCGTCCACTAAGCTCGACGAAATGGAGTGCGCGGAGCGTTTGCGGTGTCTTTTTCCATCTCACCGGTCATGCACGGTCTACTTAATGCATCAGTATCGCGTATCCATGTCATCCAAATCGATGTCGTCTTCTGACTCTTCGCCATTTGTATGCTCTGCGCGACCGATATCGCTCCCGCTTAACAGCTTTTGCTGTTCAGGAGTCAAGTCTACGATAGTGGGTGCATAGTCGCCCAGCTCGTCGTCTGCATCTGCGCCGTTGACTTCCATCTCTACCCGCTCGCCGTCCTCCAACTCCAACATGCCGCGCTTCAGATACGAGCCCTCTGGTTGCCATCCAAACTCTTTCTGCATATAATCCTGCAGATCGTCCAGTTCGTCTACCAAATCGGCTTTCCATTTTCCGTCAAAGTCGTCGAGAGCTTTACGGAACTGACCGAAGAGCGGCTTCAAGAAGCCCCCACCTACGTCGTTCATATCGAACAAATCACCCTCCATGTCGGCACAATGACCAAGCTGTATCCTTAGACATTTCAAAAAGTCGAGGAACAGGTGGGATCGCTGTTTGACTGCCTGGCGACAAGTGAGTAAGAGTCGCAGAAGTCGTTTCCATTGTTCGAGACAGGAGTTGTTGTTCAGTGTCAAGACCATGAGGAAAGTAAACTGCAACTCGCCCAAAATCTCGTTTTCTCGACCCCGTAAGTCCCCTGCCTGGCAATGGTTGTCGATAAGATCACCGAGGAACCAGGATCGGTCCTGTGCAGCTTCTGTGCGTTCCCTTCCAGTCGCGCCTTCTCTCCAGGTCTTTTTGAGATCGATGGGTAGGAAACGAAGCTCTTTCTCTGGATGTAGCATGCTATTGCTAGTCTCTAGGCCCGGTATGTCATCCAGATCCTGTGTGGCAGAAGATGCGGATGTCAAGTTCCAGTGGTCGGGGTTCAGCCCGCATATCCTCGATAGCATGGTGGGTGTGACTTGTGATGTAAGCTTGCTCCAGTCTGTAGACTCCTCGAACCAGCCTTCTTCAGCTCCAGAATCACCCTCTTGTACACTTTGGCGATATGGTGTCAAGCCGTCTTTCCATATGCTTCCAAGATTTGCCTTGTGTCGCAACACTTCTGTCTGCGAAGTCTCGGCTACCAGATCTTCGGCACTCTGGTCCCACTTCTTGACGAATACTTGTGGCGAGCCTACACCAGGTGTGACATAGAACCATGCGCCATGTCTTACAGACAAGGTGCTATCACTTGCAGTAAAGACGAAATGCAGGCCAGGCGGAACATTCTTGACACCCTGAAAACGCGGTGATGATGTAAAGGAGAGTAGGTCGATGCCAGCAAGTGCTTTTGGCGGCAGATTCAACAGTAGTACGCAGTTGTTGATTGTCGAAGGGTCCATCCTAGGGCGGAAGATCTCCTCGAACCAGGAATGTCGTAGAATTTTGAGGAGAGGTTTTTCGCAAAGCTCTACTCGAGCAGGTGAGAAATGGGGTATCATAAATTCCAGAAAGGGTAAGACGCAAAAATATTAATACACGTGAGCGCGGCAGCCTAGCTCTGGGCCAGGGTCCAGTCGATGAATGGCGTGGGTCAACAAAGTACAGACGAAGAGAAAGCGAAGGGAAAGAAGAAGTTTGCGTCCAGGCGTCGCGCCCAGGGCTTAAGATTATGTTGTCGCATGAGTAGCTATCAGGTAACGTGTGGCCATCTGATGCCCTGTACCGGAAAAGAGCGCCCGATTTCTCACCGAGCAAGGCGCCATACGTCATTGAGTTAGCATGAGGCTCGGCTCGGCATGACGATCTCCCCCGACTCCGCTTGTGGTGGAGGGAACTGTGTGATTGATGGGTGTTCCTAGACGAGAAGCTGCTGTGACAAGCATCTTGCTGTCTAGATGCGATCTGCGTGCGCGACGTCTTGGCCATCTGCCTCGTCTGCCCATCCGACCTGACCGACTACCAGTAGCTCTTACCGTGCAAGCGGATCTCTCAACAGACCCTGCATCACGCCGACGTTTTGGTTGCATTCGTCGGAGCTACCAAGCACCAACACGCGCACGACGACAACGACGACAACGACGACAACGACCATGGACCGCCGCCGCGCTCCGGGGCTCTCCTCGCTCTCCTCACGCGGTCTACAGAATCACCACTACACGTCCCATGGCGCCACGCTCCGCACCCGCAATGCAGACTCGCTCTCCACCCAACTCTCCGTCTTCCAATCCCTCGTCCACAACTTCGCCGTCACACACTCCAAGGACATCCGCGCCAACCCCGCTTTCCGCGCCGAGTTCGCGCGCATGTGCTCGGCGCTGAACATTGACTTCCTCGCATCGTCGTATCACCGGGACAGCAAAGATGGCAAGGCGAGCGGGGGAGGCGGCGAGAGCATCTGGGCACAGCTGCTGGGCGGGAGCGTGAACGACTTCTACTTCAACCTGGGCGTCTTGATTGTCGAGGAGTGTCGGGCCACGAGATCAGAAAACGGCGGGCTGATAAGCGTCTCTGATCTCAAAGCACGCATATCCAAATCACAGCGCATCGGTGGAAGCATGCAAGTGAGCGATGACGACATCAAGCGCGCCGTAGACTCGCTCGCTCCGCTTGGTTCGTGCTTCTCCATCATGAAGATCGGACACAGAAGCTTGATAAGAAGCGTGCCCAAAGAGTTGAACACGGACCAGAGCACGGTGCTCGAAGCCATACAAGTTCTCGGCTACGTCACAGTATCCATGCTGCAGCTGAATCTCAACTGGGAGAGACCTCGGGCCCATGCTGTCGTCGAAGACCTCATGGCAGACAGTCTGGTATGGGTAGATACACAAGCTGGGGAGAATGAATACTGGAGTCCGGCCTTCCTGACTGCGGCCGCGGGAGATGTGACATTATGATACCCGGTGTTACCACCACCAACGACTTCGCAGACAGCCAGAGAGCTGGATTTGGGAGCAAAACTCATCATTATATATACAGTCTATTGTACAACATTTTCATCACCACAGGAGCTCAGTGTTGCAGATTCTAGCCTCTTCACTGTCTCTCCACGCTCCCTTCGTATGGCTCAATTCAGGCAGCAGTCTACGGTGCCACCGCACACTCCATCTCCGAGCAGTATCCTCGTCGTCAAAATCCAGCACCCACCGATTGTAGACGCGATTCATGACCAGTTGGTTCTGCTGACTCGGGCTATCTTCATCTACACCACCTAGCATGCTCTGGATCGCCGGATCATCATACGTCATCTCTGAATCAGAACTCGACTGATCAAACGTGCCGTATGCGCGCGGACGGCTCGACGAGACAGCCTTGGACGACACCTTAAGGTTGATCATGTCGCGGAGACGATGGATCGACGTTTGTGATTCGTTACGGAGAGGAAGAATCATGCCGTGCTTGTACGCGTCGCGAGAGAAGATCTTGAAAAGGTCCGAGGGTGTAGGCTCGTAACCTTCAATATGCATGAGTACCCTCCAAATTGGATTTCCCTTTGCGTCGACCGAGGGTACGATGGGTTGGTAGCCGCCTCTCTCAACCAAGTTGCGTAGGGCAGGGTTGTAGGGCTGCATCAGAACGTTCAAGCTCATGGGGTGGCGTGTAGGTAAGAGGTTGTAGGATGAGATGGCGGCCGTGATGTCTTCGCCTTCTTCAATGAACCCCTTAGGTGGCGGAATGGCGGAAAAGATGTTCGCAGGTTGATGGAGGGCGCTCAATTTGTGCAGCCGCGAAGCGTTCTTCTGGTACGCAAGAGCTGCTTCTGCGCTCTTGAAGAGGAGGTAGTAAAAGGGTAGGCGCTCCAGACTCAAGGGGTCGCGACCAGGTACGACCTTGTACAAGTCATCGTCTCGATGCCAACCTTCAATGTGCTTGCCCTTTGGTATGATCCGACGGAAATCGGCTTCCGTTAACTCAGTGCTGCAATTTGTGAGCTGGAGAACAGTGACTTGCTCTCCTTGCTTATGCAAGGATTCAACCACTCGCTCTTTGAATGACTGAGTGTGACTGGAGTTTTCTCGACGAACGACAGGCGTTGAATCGGGGAGGTGGAGCTTTGGGTACCGGTCTCTTGGCTCAGACTGAGGTTGTGAAGTACTACTCGTTTCCGGGAAGAGCTCCTCAAGAAGCGATTGCTCGCTCAATTCAGATGTATCGGGTGTTGGTTTGGAAGGCACATCGGTCGTAGTAGTTGTAGAACGCTCTAATCTCAGCCTTGGATCTGGCGGTACTTCGTCCTCAGTCCCCAAGGTTTGCTGAAATACCGTGCTCTTTCGGATACTATCCTCAGTGGTCGTGTTGATATGGTTTGATGACTTCATCGAACGGGGCTGCGTATGAAGCTGACGCGTCAATCTCTCACTATCGCTCTTTTTCTCCAAGTTGTTTGACACGATGCTACTCTGAGCCCTGAGCGTGACTTCTGTATGATCGCGATTAGGCTCAGCCCCTTCTGCGTGAACAAGGTCCCAGTTTCTGTAGCATGATCGTAGTAGAGTTCTAAGCTTGAGATCATTCTCTAGTTTTGCGACTTCATCTAATACACGCAGGCGATTGCGAACATGCCTGGCAACAGGGGCTACCGCAGGAGAACGCATTGCCTCTAACCGGGTAGCGGTCTTGCCTACTGTGACAACTGAATGACGCCAAGCTCGTAGACTATGCGGAAGAGTATCAGAACGAGACCTTGAGGAACGAGTTCCTGTATGCGCATGACGAGAGGAATCCCCACCCATGGCCAATGGTCTCCTTGTTGATAGCGACTGCGTCGACACAGATTGTTGCTCATTTCCCTCTAACGGTGCATGCTCCGTGGATGAAGTGTGGTTTTCCTGGCGAGTCGAAGATGGTTGCCGATCCACCGCGGTCTTAGCTTCCAGAGCGGCTTCCAAAGCTTTGACTTGCTCAAACAAGCCTTGAATCTGTTGTCGTATGATCGCAATGTCGTTGGTTTCAGGGCTTGTAGCAACGTCCTCCTCGCTGATCGCTATTGGGGGTTGTTTCCGTTGGACTTTCTGTATGGTGGCTTGCTGCTCCCGTGTATATTCACTCTTCTTGGGAGTATCGGGAAAAGACGACACTTTTCTCAGAACGACTGGTTGATCTGATGACTTCTCTGGAGGAGTGTTTGACGTCCTCACTGGAAGGAAGTCTTGATCTCGACTCTCGGTGTTGTCTGCCTGTTTCCCGTGTGTACATGCTTCCGAACGCAGTATCCTTCGCTGACGCTCCGCCGGCGATTCCACTATTCTTGCGATCTGCCCAGCTCCAATTTCCGAAGTTTGCTCTTCCGACAGGTCCTTTTTCGCTTCGCTTGAGTACGAGGTAGGAGTATCTTGCGGTTGCGGTTGCGAATCTGGCCGTGGTTCGGCAGATGATGTCTGAGAGTCCCATGGTGCAATTCTGCTCAAAGCTGAAGTCCACCAACTTTTCCTTTCCGCATCGTGGCTGTCCGTAGTCGTGGTTTGCGGGGACTCATCGCCGACGGTCGAGGATTGTGCGTAGGTCCTCCTGTGGGCGCAGCGAACCTGGTACGCGGTCCCTGAGGGATGACATGGCCGAAGATGTCCGGGAAGGCGCGGCGGTGGCATCAATTGTGCAGCTTCGTTACATCGCAAGCTGCCCTCTTACGAGCCCAATACTCAAAAGCTTCGGAACAAGGCCGCGCTAGCGTGTTCATTAGGCCTAGTGCCTCGGTTCGCTTAGTCACCCCAATACTCTCCACCACAGTGGGCAGCATGCAAAGATTCTGGAAGTGCTACGCTAGGAGACACTGGTGGAGCTGAATTCGGTCCACCTACTGCTCAGAGGCTTGAGCGTGAGAGACACACACACAAACACGTGACGTGAGTCACGCCAATATACCAAACCATCTCTGAGATTTTCGTCACCCACCCTCGCCGCAGTAGGAAGTGATAATATGAGTCCAGCAACGTCCTACACTCTACGTCCGCTGGAGCGTAATCCGCCTAGCATACCCGGCAATGCGCTCGAGGGTGGCGCTTTCCGTGTGCATCTATCGCAAAAAGAATTAAAAGCGCTGGGACTTGTCAACGGTGACTGCATTCGACTAAGCACAGCTGCTGGTTTCAAAGGTCACGGAGTAGCTTGGCTAGCCTCTCAGACGAACCCTGGAAACAAGCCCATTGCCAAGGTGACTGATCTTCTGCGAGAGCAATACAATCTTTCTCTCAACGACCCTGTTTTCATCGATAAGGTCGACTCCTGGAAGCCTCTCAAATCCATAGAGATCGATCTTGCGGATGCTCAAAATCAGATCGCCAAATTCAGCTCAAATGAACAACTTCTGTACTGGCTGCGACATACTTTAGGTAGGTCAACGGGTACTTCCTGACTAGCAGTTCTAACCTTCCCGTAGCAGTTGACTCCGACATTATTCTCCCAGGATGCAGCTTCCCAGTCCAGCAGAAAAGCTTCAAGCAGAAGAGCCACAAGATGCGCGTCACTGTGCAAAACATTGACCCACATCCGACTGAAAAGCACGCAGTGTATTTCGATGAGCTCATCACTCAAGTCACCACCACTGGTGGCGTTCCCATTCAGCAAGCACCGAGAGCTCCTACACAAAACTTTCAAGTAAGGTTCGACGGGATTGGCGGCCTCTCTAGCCACTTCGCTACCATAAATAAACGCCTCTCTTATCTCACGAAAACCCTACCTCACCAACGAGACCTACGCCTGTGTGGACCTACTTCTTTCCTACTACATGGCCCTGAGGGAACTGGCAAAAGTCTTCTACTCGAGCGACTAGCGGAATGTCCATGGCAGGAAGTGTACCGCGTAGATCCGGATACGCAACCAAAGGCACAAGCAAAGGCAATATCCGAAGCTTTTGAGGACGCTCGTGAAAACCAACCAAGCTTGATCCTCATGGACAATCTTGATAGGTTCCTCGACAAGGCTGATGCACTTGTGAACAAACTGCGGACCGAGCTAGCAAAGTTGGGTGGCAGCCAAGTAGTTGTCGCGGCAGCAGCACGGAGCATATACGACATTGATACTAGTCTTCGGTCACCGTCAGCTTTTAAGACAAAGCTCGAACTCTTTCCACCTAATGCTAAGCAGAGAGAAGATATTCTACAACAGATCTTGGGCACTACTAGCAGACTTGGTGACCTTGACTTCACGGCACTAGCCGAACGCACCCATGGCTTCGTCGGGCGCGACATTCACGATTTATGTCTTCTCGCAAGAGACCAACGAGAACAGCAGATAGACGAGTCGATAAGCGAAGAGGAGAAAACCACATTTGGCGAGAAACTCGAGCAGACAGACTACGTGCGTCAAGAGGACTTTGATGCTGTATTTGGCGAGGTACAACCGACGGTATTGAAGGACAGCATTCTCGAAGTTCCAAAGGTCAGATGGACAGATATAGCTGGTTTGGATCATGTCCGGGCCGTGCTTGAAGCCATCACTATTCGTCCTTTCAAGGTGAGCTCCAACTACGCATATTCTCGCATGTCGCAACGCCTTGTACATGGTGTCCTACGCTTTCATCGATATCTGCAATCTGTTCACAATACTAACAACCTTTCTAGTATCCTGACCTCGACATCAAATTTGGTGGGCCTCAGTCTCGCAAAGGTGTCCTGCTCTACGGTCCACCTGGTTGCGCAAAGACTTTGATCGCGCAAGCCGTCGCAACAGAGAGCAAACAAAACTTTCTTGCAGTAAAAGGCTCCGAACTCATCAAGATGTATGTTGGCGAATCTGAGCGAGCTATTCGCGACGTGTTCCGCAGAGCGCGTGCAGCGAAACCCTGCATCATCTTCTTCGACGAAATCGACTCCATCGGTAAATCTCGTGAGAAGACGCAGGATAGCGGCCTGAACGTCGTTACAACGCTACTAAACGAAATGGATGGTATCGAGGCACTGAAGGATGTTTTCATCATTGGTGCTACCAATCGGCCTGACATTCTTGACTCGGCGCTCATCCGTACTGGCCGTTTTGATGCGCATATTCACATCGGCCTCCCAACCGAGGAAGCGCGAAAGCAGATCCTGCAGATTCACACGCGAAAGAGGCCGCTCGCAGAAGACGTTGATCTAGATGTTGTTGCTAAGAGGACTGAAGGGAGCAGTGGAGCAGATCTCAGTGGGTTGTGCGCTGTTGCTATCGAGTTGGCGATTACAGAGTATACAGAGGATCCGAGCCGTGAGGCAAAAGTGCATATGCGGCACTTTGAGCAGGCGCTACAGCAGCATGTTCCACATACCATTGCAGCGGAAGCAGAACGGTATAAGAACTGGCGGCCAGGCAAGTCGTTATCAGAGGACTAGATCGACGGTGTCATCGGGTTCACCTGACAATGCATTATCTACCCGTGTGGATCAGGCTTTTTGGGCCAACGTATTTTGTCCAAACTGTACCCCAGAGGGCTTCGCAGTGTTTTGCTTCTATAGTATATCAATACAGGACACAGCTGATACTTTCGAGTTACATTATAACACAATCAAGCAAGGGTATTGTGAAACAGATCCGCGACGCCGTCCTCTCCTCTGCACCAAGATTCAAGGCTGATTGTCTTCGCTCAACCGGCAAGCTCCGTCTCTTTAAAAATTGGTATGTTGATGTCGAACTCCTCATCACACTTTGCCACTCTGCCCAAGATACAGTTGACTTTCTTCCGTGTCTGCTCGCTCATGTCCGCCACATGCGTCAGCGCGATATGATTCATGAGTGTTTCCACTCCGCCATAAACCCCCGTTACCTTGTCCTGTGCCAGGCAAAGTACGCAGCCAAAGTTGTCGTCGTTCGAGGTAGGGTCTGATGCTTTCTTCTTGACGTGGGATTTAGCGAGAAATATCCATCGATAGCGTATTCCCGACATCGAGATCTTGACTCGCGGATCGACAATTTCGACAGTCTTGTTCTTCTTGGTGGGATGCGGTGCAGTGAAGACGTCGCCTGTGAACGTGCTGCAGATGTAGAAGTCCCAAGTCAGTGTATGTCTTACATGCATTTCGTACAGTCACAACCTACCATGACTTGCAGCCCCAGATTTGTCTCGTATTATAGTAACCCAAGGGCTGGGTACGAACGCTGATGCCCTTCTTAGGGTCCTCTCTTACAGCCCAGGCACCTTTACAAAACCCCCAGTAATCGTTATCCTTATTCGGGCGCCCGTTCATCATTCTTTCTCCGCCTGCAGGTCCGCCCTGTATAGTATCGGATCTGATGCTGCTGCGCATACGGTGACCTGGAAGGATACCGATCGGGGCAGAGCTACTACTGTCGGTCGAAGCGACAGAGGGCGTGATGCTGGCGTGTCGAGGGCGGAAGACAGCTGTAGACCCTAGCACCGAAGAAGGAGAAGCTACAGTTGGGGGAACGTACGCAGTAGTTTGGCAATCGCTGTTACTGCGTAAACTGGATGTACCACGTTCTGTTGGAGGCGTCACGTAATACTGAGGATGCGTTGATTTACTAATTTCCACAGCGTCCTTTTCAATTGGCACACTGTATGGCTGTATTGGGTTATATTGTACTGGTGACATAGACTGCAGCGGAGGGGGAGAATCCTGGTGGGGCCATGGCATACTTGTTGGTGCACTCACGTCATTCTTGGGAGAACTAGTCGATGGCGCATTAGTTTGAGGACGTAAGGGTGCCAGTGGTGCGATAGGCGAGGGTGTATATCTGTCTTCTGCAGTTGCGTAGGGAGAGGTATACGGTGGACTTTTATAGATCTCATCGTGTTGATCGTATGATGACACTGGAGGACGGACATGGTCACCTTGCGATGAATTAGAGCTGTTGCGACCGAGAGAAGCCGCATTCGACTGCGCTGAGCTAGAGGCATCTGACCATCGAGGATGCAGCGTTTGCGTTTGTGTCTGGGGATACTGATTGTTTATCTGTGAGGATTGGTTAAGTAACGGGCCATGGGGACGTCGGGGTACGCTTCGGTCCTTCTCTTTCATTGCTTCGTCATAGAATTCTCTGTCATTGAGCATGGTCAGGGTATCGCGTCGGGCAGGATGACCTCCGCTATGCGCATGGCCTTCTGGTGGTCTTTGTTCGTTCTCAATACCCAGTCCTTGGTAAGAGCTTATTATATGTTGAATGTCTCTCAGAATAGATGCACGGTCTCCAGGGCGGAGTCCATCCAAAGCTAAACTGAAATTTGGATCTGCAGTTTGTGCAGGTGTGTAGGCCGATCGAGAGCCGCTAGACGTATCTCTAGTAGTCTTGCTCCCGCAATAGTCGGCCAAAGTATATCCTGTATCTCCAGGATCCATGTGTGGTAAGAAGCTTGTGGTAGGATAATTGTCCGATAGCGAGTGGATCCTGCCGTAATCATGCACTTGTGCGGTCCGCACGGATGCACCCGTATGATCTTCCCCAAGCGGCCACAATTGCCGCACCATAGGCCTTGCTATGTATATCCTCTGTTTCAATTCGTCCAATGTCGTTAACGTCTCTGTCCGTTTCGTGATCGAGGCTTCGTGTAAGACATGTAAATTGAGAGGCAAGACCCCGCTAGACATTAAAAGTAAGTATTGTGCTGATATGAGTTGTCGGACTACTTACTTTGTAGCAGCTTGCTGTAAGCTATTGATGATCTGAGCCTGTAGCATGAATCCTATATGGTAGAGGCGCTCTCGAGCGGTATCTGTGCGCAGACATCAGCTCTGAAATCTACCGGAAGAACTTCTATCATAAAACTCACCGTCTCCTACGCGAACATAGTCGCCTAACTCTCTCTGATCTTGTTTCCACCTTAGGTCAATCTGTTGCTCCCCTGCCAACAAAGAAGCTTGCAGTTGCTCTTCTTGCCATTCTTGTTGAGCTTGATCGCGGGCTTTGCGAGCGCGGCGTTTCTGCTTGACAAGTTTGAGCAGCTCTGATCCACCATGGAAGGCTGATACGACAGCAGAAACAGCTGCGACAATCTAGATAATAGTAAGTAATAGCCAAAAGGTGAGGTCGCGTGCCCATTCCAGAAACTAGGGAGGGTATATACAGAGCTCCAGAATGATGTCTAGGACGCAAGATAGCAACTTACCTCAAGACCGGACATCCTGTAAACGCTTGTTTCTCGCTGCTACAGTCGCTGAACTTTGTGGATTGGCTAGACAGCGCATCCAGCTCGTATCAATACCATTGGCGCGTAGCCTCGGATCGGTATTGCTATATGTCGAATGAAAAAGAGCTAAGATCCAACGGTTCTCAAGTTGGCGGTCCCAGTGGACTCTCGAAGATCAGGTTCACTAAGCCTGAGAGGACGTCCAGTCGTGTATGGTGGTAAGCCTTCTATGGTCCTTGCTTGATTCGCGCGAGGGCAAGCAGAGCTAGGTGTCGAGCCGTCGCGCGTGATTATCCTGTCTAGGGAAAAGACACTGACGCCGGAATAAAGTGAAATGATTGTAAAGCGATGAGGGAAGTTGCTTGGAAGGTTGGAGAGGGTTCCATGCCATTGGTACTCAGCCTCACTCGAGCCGGAACGGATGGCATGCGACCGCTGTATACATTAGGCTAAGCCCTTGGTGAGCCAACAGCAGGCGACAGTATTGCTTGACCGAGGTGCAGCGCTCACTGTGCTATCTGGGGAGGTCTCTCCAATAAAGGAACTGTGGCTGTAGCGCCAGGCGGGCTATGTGGTGTCGTCTAACCTGAAAGCGAATGGCATACTGTATCACGAAGCGGGAAAGACTTGGCCAGTGGCTTTCTTGCAATCACACTTTCGACTAGTACAGATAGATGTACTGTGCTGCCAGTAGGATTGCTTATCGTATCGGTGGAGGCTTGAAGTTTGCTAGCAAGGAGGTGGAGCTGGACGATAGCCCGCGCCCCTGGCAGTCGCCTAAAAGCTATCTTTGTATGGAACGAACATAATGCTGCACATGAATTCCAAGTCTCGGAGGCAAAAGGCTGGAGCTTGATGATTCCTATTGAAGCTTGGTATGGATGAGCGCCAGGAGATGAGAATGCGCCTTCTCGCCTGTCGCGCAGTCGCGGGACATCGCGAGCGGGGTCGTTCGCGCCATAGCCACCACGCCGCCCATGTGCCCTACCGAGAGTCCGACACGAGTTACGGCCATGATCTGTGTATAGCGAAGCTTGTCTCTCAACCTGATGCACTCGACACCGAAACGTGCCCACAAGGAGTACACCTATGTAAATATGAAAAATCTTTCCAGACAAAGGCATGCCGCTCATCCGTGGGGTTCACCGGTTGGCCCCATCCCCGGATTTCGGATTTCGACTGCACAGCCTTAGGCAGTAGCCTGGAGCTCACAAGCTGCAGTAAGCGACGCAGTAGCAATGAACGTATTGGTGTAAGTCACAAAGTATCATTCAGAAGCCTGGAGGCCTTTCAGTGGCATACCATTTTCCGCCTAACACCATTCTTTCCCATCTAACTCCTTCAAACCGACCAGCAGTACGTTTTGGATCATTCCTATCCCTATATATATGCACATAAGGAAGCCCAAGGATCTCCTAGAGAATGCAACCAGAACGACCCCCGCTTACAAGAAACACACCGCATGAATCAAAATGACAGGCGAGTGCATGTGCAACTCGAGCTGTGTCAGCGCGTAACGCCAGAGGAACACCAAGTCCTGATCGCTGGAAACGCGAGTCAACATCGACAGACATAGGAAAAAAATGGGGTTAAAGAAGAGTTTTAGAAGCGAAGAAAGACAAGAAGTCTAAGCATCCTCAAGTTGCACTCTCTGGCTCTTTCGGTTCCTGACTTCCACCATCGTAGGGGTCAGAGCCAATCGATCCACAACACGATCCTCATGCGGACTTGTCATGGTACGAACCACAGCTCTCGGGCTGTTTGCTCTGCTGACAGATACACTCCTCGCAACGCCGACCATGGCTTTCGCCGTAGCGACTTCTTCCGTCCTTCCTTCCCTTCTTCTCGCTTGAATCTCTGCACGCTTCTCACCAAGTCTGCTGGCCGAATGTGGCGGAGTTGACAAACTTTGCAATCGTTGTAGAGGCGAAGGTGCGTCGAGGGGAGCTGAAGCCGGGTGTGATGAGAGCGCACTGAGTTTTGTGACTCTTGGCTGCTTCTGCGAAGGAGAGCGGGAGAGTAGGGAATCTGACACACTGTTGACCATAAGGTTCTCGCTTCTTGCAGTCTTGCCAGGCTTGGAGCAAATCTCCCACTCGGGCTCTCGCTCATCGAGGCGTAACTTGATGGGTTTGGAATGACCAGGTGATGCCTGAGCAACTATAATCGTGATTGATTCGGCCTCGGATTCGAAGCTGCGGATCGAAGTAGGGGTCAATGATGGCTTCAGGTACGGAGATGCGGCAGGCTTCAGTTTTGTAGAATCAATATGTACCGTCGGAGTCTCTGCATCTTGGGCGAAGGTTTGCTGAAGTGGAGACTTCGTAGGCATTGTTTTAGATCGCTTGAGATCCTTCCTGCTGCGGTTCATGATCGATCCGGAAAGAGGTGATGGTGCGCGGTTTGAGTTGGTGGAAGGGAACAGCGAGAGTCGGGGTGAACCAGACACTGGAGTGGGCGATGTTACACTGCGGTGAAGGCTGTAATCTACAGGACTTTCGTCGTTTTCATTGCCCTGCTGTGCTATTAGCTGACATCCAACGTAGCTCAAGCTGTGAGTACACACCTTTGCGGACAGCTCCTGCAGTGGCTTGACCTTCTCAGCATTGCCTTGTCGCCGTGCCAAGAGCGATGACCGGCTCGGGTCTGACTGCAAAAGATTTCCGAACATAACACTGTATCTCTCCATCGTTATGTCTGGAAGACTGACATCAAGAAGAGGCCCCCCGTCGTCTACAGACGTGGTGGGACCTGTTTTCGACACTTCAACCTTTGGCACAGGTGGGGGGGCGTCGACTAAAATGTCTCGTGCTCCTAGATCCGGTGTTGTAAAAGCTCGTTGAATGGACTGTTTAGGTCCATGTGATGGGACACTTCCGAGCGTTAATGCCCGTTCCCTTGTCGCAGACGTCTCTGGTGGCGATTGAGGCGGAACAAACTCCCCAGGTGACCACTTGCGTGATGCTCGGATGTTGGGTCGATAGGTAGGCGGGGACACACTTCGCAGTTTCTCCCTCTCCATTTCCTCCGGTTGAGATGCCTGAGGTGCCTGAGGTTCGAGTACTTCGTCATCATGGTGGCTGTCTGCTCGAGGTGCTGCAGCAACGGTCTGCGCCAGCTGATAGAATGAGGGCTTTTCCACTGGAGGTGGAGGCGCTTTACGGAATAACGACTTCCATCGACTGAGTTTAGATTTTGGTGCTTCCGGGCGGCTGGCCAAGGAAACTGAGGAATCGTTGGGTTGGCTTAACATCGCCATTGAAGAATCGGGAAACTTGGGATCTACTGTTGATATCGCCACCTGAGATGCCGCTTTCCAGTGTGAGCTTGAGGTAGGCGAACCAAGAGCGATTCCAATGACTCCCTGCTCTTTCGTGGCGTCCGGGCTGTAGAGTACAGTTGTGGAAGTGGTAGGCGATTGAAAGGAGTGGATATGATCCTGAGAATAGATCGATGCTACAGGATTTGTTTTCTTATGGAACATGGGTAGACGCTCACCAGGTCCGCCTGATGTGCTTGGTCGCTTTGCCGTATCCGGAACTCCTAGATTTCCCTCAGTCCTCGAATCAGAAGTTGTTCCCTTGTATTTGTCAAAGTCTGTTTGAGGACCCTTAACGGGCGGCATTGAGTCCCCATTGTCTTGCTCCGTGGCCTCCCTGCGATTGTTTCTCAGAAACCTCAGCGATTTCGACCTTGTAAGCATCCCGGGCATCTTGGGTTTCAAGTTCGTTAGAGTATCGGAAAGTAAATTGAGGTTGAAGGAAAGACTAGAAGATATGAGCGCAGACGTAAAGGAATGGACGGCTCTACTGAGCCAGAAAGATAGAACAGGCCGCGACACAGTCGTGGGAAGGTTGAAAGAAGAAGAGACTCAAAGAACGGCGGGATTTGCGCAAGTATCACCACCGGTCCGCCAGGAAACGAACCTGGCGCCTCCACACTTCGCTGTCATCATACCAGCGGCAATCATCAATCCACTTTCGCGCGTCTGAGAGAAATTGCAGCGTCGAGAACCCGTCACGAGACCAGGGTCAGGGCAATGCATATTGTGTGAGACGGGCGAATTCGATTGGCTCCCCGGCTTGTCGCGCCAACATTACCCATGGCCGTTGACGGGATTACCTCGTAAGTGTCTTTGCAGGGTGACGATGCCGGGGGAACAAGCGACAAATGCTGCAGGGCTAAGAAGTTGTGGATAAACACAAGCCTGGTTTCAAGATGACGCTGGGCCGAGGAGCAATTTCGCGATCCGCCGCCAAGACGATCTGACCGACATCACTGGCTGTGGTAAGATTGTCAAGCAGTCAAGGCTGCCCACAACTCAATGTGCTACGAGACAAGAGAGCTCAGATCTATTCTTGCGATACGAGAGCTGAGAGACACAAGTATAATAGCAAGTATGGCGGCACTTGGTTGCGCTGAAGCAGCAAGTGCTCGCCCGCCTATGATCGACGGGAAATGAGGCCCCAACACACCATGGATAACGGCGCGACGTTTCGGAAATACCCAGAGATTGCGCGCGAGGTCTCGCCGCCTTCCTAATCAGAGGCAGGCATGTATACGCGCGACGAAAAATTGAAACGAGACCTAATGGCCTGGCCTCAGGCACTTACGCGATGTTGTGTAGGCGGCTAATTCCCCGTACATGCAAAACGCATCCCACCTGTGTATGCTCAATCCAGAGGATATGCCGAAGGCGAGTATAAGCATCTTGCTTGCCATAACCCCACAGCCTGCTCGCGGGGCGTGCCGATACGTTGCTTCGCATGCTCACCATGCAACTAATCGAACGACTGTTCTCGAACATCTCAAGCACAACTTGATGCTGGCCGTCGCACTATGTCCGAGTGCACACGAAGATGCGTGTCAAATGCAAAATCCTGCGAGGTATATTAGCGACCCATATACTAGCCTGGACAGCCTTCCAATGTTGAGAGAAGCGGCCCTCTTCTTTGGAGAAACCCGTCTCAGGCTGGCATCGCGAACCTGATACCCTGATCAGCAATATCTCTTCTCGTCATCCTGAACACCGTGTGGCAGCATATGCGAAGCTCAGAACGGACTCGAGGTCACATTCAGCTCTTGCTGTTGGTCGCTTTTTTTTTCTTATGTACTGCACAACACGCGTGCTCGTTTCTTCTCATTTCCTTGCATCGCCCGAGCCTCTCATAGCGATTTTGTGCTGTGTATCTTGTGGTTATCGTCGCACTCTGCAAGGAGTGTCGCAGGCGCTACGTCTGCGGTTTGTTCGAGTACGGTGGCGCGGGAAAGCAGGTTAACGGAACGCTTGCTGTTCAGAATGTAGTAGCACAGGTGGGTCATTCGTCCAAAATGGTTCTACCTATTTTCCTACGTATAGCTTGATTGATCAGCGAGGTTCTGCAATACTTATCATCATATCGTCCAGAGTCGGCGAAGGTGTTCACTAATCGAGAAGCTCAGAAAGCGTCCGTGCGGGATTGGGAGAGAACGGCGGAGACTCCGAAGAAGCCCATAAGAGAATGTGTTCAGTAATCTTTTCGAAGTTTGCATGCATTTCGCGGCTTGAGGGAGGGTTACGCCCAAGCAACAGGTAATGTGAGAAACTTTAGTACTCTGTGTTGTTCCGGTCACAACTTGGCCTCATAGCTGGGTTGACGCGTTATTACAATTCGCCTCTCAACCGATGGAAGGGTAGGTACCGGTGAGCCTTCGAGCAACCGCATGCCTCGATTGTATGCTGGCCATAAAATACATAGCGAACGACGATCAAGAGTGTGGAGAGAAGAATGGCGGGGACACCTTCGCCCGGGCGGCCACGAGTCTTGCCGAAAGTCTAAAGACAGATCGGCAAGACCGCCAATCGGGCTTCTCTTGTGACTCTTTGTCCTAGAAACAACCAGACTTGTCAGTTCAGATTCTAATTGCCAATCTTCGGACGAGATCCGTGATGTATTGACAGCGGCGTCTACCGTTGTCATCTTCCAAAGCAGGTATATAAGGTTAACACCACTTTCAGATTCATCTCTTGAATATACCACTCAATTACCAGTACTTATCAACAACCAATCTACACACTCAGTCATCGTTCTTCAAGGATCCTATTAGACCTCACGATACACCACTCCACACAACTTACTAGCTACCACCAAAGCATCCCTTTCTTTCCCTCTTTCTTCTCCAAATAAGACGCTGCAGTACATCAGAATATCGTATCCATCGACCACAACATCCTGAACATGCATTTCAATCCCGAGAAAGAGATACCCGATCTGTCGGGAAAGACAATTATCGTGACAGGCGGCAGCAGTGGTCTCGGCAAAGAGAGCGTCCTCCAACTCGTCAAGCACAACCCAGATAAAGTGTATCTCGCAGCCCGAACAAGCAAGCGAGGCAATGCAGCAATCGAGGAGATTGAGAAATTAGTCCCTTCAGCAAAGGGAAAGATGCACTACCTTGAGCTGGACATGGCATCTTTCGCGTCCGTCAAGCAAGCCGCCGATCGCATCCTGTCTGAGAACAACCGAATCGACATCCTTATGAACAACGCCGGAACAAGTGCCAACCCTGCAGGTCTAACCAGCGATGGCTACGAGGTCCAATTCGGCAGCAACTACATGGGACCAACTCTCTTCACCAAGCTTCTCCTTCCACTGCTTCAGCAAACCGCCGAGCAACCAAACAGCGACGTCCGCATCATCAACCTCAGCTCTGAACTCTTCAAACAAGCACCTAAAGAGGGAATCTCATTTCCCACGCTCACGACACCCGCTGAAGAGATAAGCACCGTAGCTCGCTACGGCCAATCAAAACTAGCAAACTACTACTTCAGCAAGCTTTGCTCTCAGAAATATCCCAACATCACATCAATCGCTCTACATCCGGGTGTCGTCAACACGGGTATCTGGGACCACTTCAAGGAAAGGAGGCCTATGCTAGGAGCGGTGCTTTCTGTCTTATCTGGCCCCTTTATGACCAGTGTCCCCGACGGTGCGAAGATGCAGTTGTGGTCCAGTACCGCACCGAAGAACCAGGTTAAGAATGGTGCTTTCTACACCCCAGCAGGGAATGGTAAGGAGTACACGCAGGCGATACTGAAGAACGATAAACTTGCGAATGAGCTATGGGAATGGACCGAGAAGGAGTTTGCAAAGCATGGGTATTAGTTGAAATGTTTGTTTAACCGTCTCAGCAAGAATCATTAGTTTAGCGCGTTTTGAGATACCGACTTGTACTAATACAGAGGGATGGCGAATATTGTTTGTCATTCAATGAAACGTCAACGCCATGTTTATAGAGTAATAATAACGGAACATGGTTTCTGCTTCATTTGCTGAATATCAGAGTGAAACGAATTGATTTAGTACCTAGGAACGATAGCGACCACACACACGTGAAGCGTCCCAAACATCTCACGGAAGAGCAACGTCATACTGGACTCAGAGACTTGGAACAAACCCTGCACCGAAGACGTGGTTATAAAAAAGACATGCATCCATACAAATGCTAAACTCGCTCACTGTCAAAAACCTATCAAACGCCGCTGATGTGAGATTTGAAAATTCATAACCAAAAAACTAGATAGCATACGTCACAGCTTACACTCGAGCCTGCGCCTGCTGACCCGCCCTGCCCAAATCCACACTCTTATGATATTGCTTACATGGCAAGTTTTGATGAGTATCTTCCTCATCGTCCTCAATGTCAAACATACGCTTCAGCTCCTTGCACGCTACCATATATTGCTGCCGAGCACCGGGGCTCTCCCTGAGAGGGTTAGGGGCCTTGTCCCAGCCATGCGGCACGCCAGGCACACAGTGATAATGTACGCGCTTTCCAAGATCCTTTTGTAGACGGTCACGGAATCGTTCACCTTCAGCGAGAAGCATGTCCCATTCACAGCAGAAGAGGACGATGTCGTCAGGAAGGGCCTCGAGCATGTGCTTTGGCGCCATGCCGGGGCTAAGCCATGGGTGTGCAAGATCGAGCGAGGGTGGCTGGAGGTAGGAATCATCGAAGAGATCAGTAAAGACAGCGGGAAGGTTCTGGTCAACCCTTGAGCAGGTCTCTCGACGCTGCGCGCGCGTTTGTGTGTAGTCGGTAGGTGGATAGAAGGATACTATGCCTCTTATCTTGAGAACAGTGTTGGACGCCTCTGTCATGACTGACACTCCAGAGGTGTCTTTGTAGGAGGATATGAGGGATAGCGAGGACGCGCCTGTCTGGCGGAGCATAGCAATACGATCGAGGCGAGACTTCTGGCGCACGAGTGGGACACGAGAGCCGTTGGGTGTGAGGTTCTGGCCGAAGGTGGGAGGAGGCTGGAGGCCAGCATTGGGAACGTTACCGGCGCGGTCATCGATGATCTTGGCGCCAGACGTAGTTCGATCGAAGAGCTCGCCCTGCAGACACAGGGGAACGGTAAAGCTCATGTTTCCTCCCGAGGAGAAGCCCGATATAGCGAAGCGATCGGCATCGAGCATCAATTCGTCGGCATGTTGTGCCAGCCAGAGCACTGCATCGGCACCATCCTCGACGGCTGTAGGGAACGGGTTCTCTGGCGCAAGACGATAATCGACGCTGACGACGACGGCTCCGACCTCGTCGACGACAACTCCACACCAGCGCGCATCGTCGTGCGCGGTGCCCAGAACGAAACCGCCTCCATGGAAGTTGATAACAACAGGGTATCTCTTAGTACCCTTCAGCTTCTTATGCTTCTTGTATTCTTTGGGCACGTAGAAATTGAGGCGAAATTTGCCTTTCAAAGGCGAGACGGTAGCATCGATGTCTCTATGGAAGGCAGGCTTGGGTGGTCGTGGTCGGGCAAGACGATGGAGCATCATACCGATGCCCATAAGGACGCGCCAGAACTGCGCCTGGACGTGGAGCATCCATCGTGGCCGGCTGGTCTTGGACTGTGGTGGTGGGTTGTCGACTGATACCGTCATGTTGACTGTTGATGGGGACGTCGGTCGGATCACCCTAAGCGGCGCGCGCCCATCAACGAGGCCGCGGGCGATAAAAGAGTCGAAAGGGGGGCTGTGCTTGTGGCAAGCCGCGTGCGCAGGGGCAGATGAGTGATGTCTAGTGTCCCGATGGTGTGGACCTAGAATTACAGCGATAGCTTGCAGTCGGGCGTGTCAAGTCTGGAGTTGTGTGGGCTCCGTCGCAAGCGTTGGGATTCTAGAATTGTGAGACCTGAGGCGCGCATTGGTCTCCGATAGGCGATGACGTATGCTAATCAGCCGCTGGCCAAGCAACACCCCATGTATGCGCCGTCGCGCTTTCACCAACTTGGACAAGCACACATTCAACATACATCGCTCGAGATCGGTTTGAACGACATGAATTCATGTCGCTCCTAGTGATATCATTATCGACTACTGTGTGTGTGTATGTGCAGCTACAGGGTGGAACCCACAGAACACAAGGGGTACAGGCCACGACCCCAAACTAAAAGCAAGCAAGCCGAGACGGGTATATGGCTGCTCAAGTCCTCAGAAAAGCGCCAGACGCTCGCCTATTGATGCTGCCAACGACCATAATGCGAATGTAAACAGGTATGAGAGAACCCTTGGCCAAGTCGAAATCAGAGGTCAAAGAACGCCGGAAAGTCGTGTGTATGCAAAACATGTGAAGAAGAATCGATGGGGAACGAGGTCAGATCAAGAGGGCAAGCGACGCAATCATGCATCGACAAACTCGTACTCGTCATCCTCAGGAGCCACATGTCGCTTGGGCCGTGGCGTCTCATCGTACAAGTCAAGCACCTCATACTCGTTCTTTACCAGCTTCTCCGTCTCCTTGGTCTCAAAGCGCTGAACAGCTTTCTCGAGAGCGTGGTTCAGGATCTGGCTGCCATGGCTAGGACCCCGATAGGCGTCGAACGAGTAGGCGATGTCGGCATCTGGAGCAGGTGCAGCGGACGGGTGCTCAACGTCCTCGTCAGCGGACGACTCGTCACTAGCGGAAGCCATGTCTTTGTTGAAAGCGGTGCGCGCCTTCATGGGGCCGTGGGACGATGCCCTGCATACGTTAGTTCTCCGATGATCCATCTTGACGGGGTCGAGAGGCGACTTACTTGACGTGAGGGTACAGCTTAGCAGGACGCGGCTTGCCGTCTTCCTCCCGCCGTCCAGGGCCGAACGACTGTCCATGCGCCCACTTCCCCCTGCTGTTCTTGTCGCGGTTGAACTCCTTGGCATCGCTGCGGAGGTCGCCCGTGAAGGTCTGGGAAGTCGACATGGCGGTGTTGCGGCTTGGTTTGGTTGTCGAGGCTCTGGTGTATATTGGGACTGGCTGGTAGGGTGCAAACAGAGAATGTGTATTGGAGCTAGCAGGTAGATTAGGTGTAATGGAGGGAGTAAACAGTGAGAAGTGACAGGCACGACAGGTATGGCAAGGTAATATGCGCGAGAAAGAGGGAGGCGCGGCGGATGACTAGCAGCTGTCTTATGAATGACTCTAAGAAGTGACTCAGGATGATGAGGTCTGATCGGGCGAGGCGAGTGGCTATGCAGGCTCTCTTATGGTAGATTACGGATTACGGCTCGTGTCCGGGCCGGGCAGGTGTTTACTTGCGCCGTCCCTATGTCGTCAAGGGCGTAGGCACCATCCCCGCCTTTGTCGTGGTTCCTGATAAGGGGAGATGTGGGAGCTCATGACCCAGCTTCTAGCTTCCGACTCGCCGAGGCCCATTTCCCGCTTTAGCCCGAAGCACATCCGGTTTGACGCTGTTGCCCATGATGCCATCATGGCGGTTTCAGACGGCTTGGGTGGCCAACGTGGGCGAGCTGGAGGCTGCCGTGTTCCTGGTTGGTGTCCAAGGACATGCGTGAAGCTCCCAGCTCTCAAGCTCTCAAGCGCCCCAAGCTGTGCTCCAGCTTCCGATCGCCGACCCCACATGGATCCTCCACACCTCAGACAGCAACAGTCACGGCATGCATCCCAACAATCGCAGCTTATTACATGACGCCCTTTACCACGCAGCCTTGATAAGATCCCGGACTCGGCCGCCGTGGCCGTGCACTCATTGCTAGCTTGGAACGTTAACCTGTCGTAATTGTCATGGTTGACCAAGACAGCCATTCCCAGTGCATCCTCAGGCGTGTGCTTCAACTATGTATGGTACGCGGCCTCCTCCTCATCCTCCTCGTCGCTACTTTCGACTAGGCCAGCCTCGCTGGGAAGGACATCAGGAAACCAGCCGTATTTCCCAAGATCCACTGTATACTGCCCCATGGCATCCTGGCTGACCTCGACCCCCTCCCTGCGCAGCGCATCTGCTTGCTGAGCCGCTGCGCTCGGTCCTCTTTGTTCCAGTCAGCAATCGAACAGCAGCCAACAAAGCCTTGTTATGGCAACAGGAGGCGCTGACCTCGGACTGATGCCGCCTTTGGCGTTGATCACGCGCTGCCAAGGCACGTTGCGGCTATGGAACGTTGGACTCTTCTTGCTGCTATCGGTCGATGGCGAAGGCAGGTTCTTGAGACACACTCCGACTTGTCTTTGACGTCATGCGTTAGTGATATTGCGACATGATGGCAACGTCTTTTTCCATGTACTACCTTGGACATTCGGCTACGATGAAAAGAAACATGTCAGCAAGTAGTCCTCGTCATTTGGTAATACAACGCACGCTTTCCTACTAGTCTTGCAATATGACCATAGCTAGTGACCTTGCCGGAAGGCACCTCTTGAATCGCCTCGTATACTGCCGTGTACCATAGCCAGACTTCTTCTGAGCGCTCTCCCGGTGCCATGGTGATTCGACGTGTAGAAGTGACTGAGACCAGCTGCAAAGAGTCGAGCGGGATCTACACCTGCAGCACGCGACAACACGAGAGCACGTGATGCGGAACAGCTGCGCGCGCCAAGCTCTCAACTTTCCGTACCGAGCTTCGCGAGTGAACGTTTGCAACAACACTCGACCAACGCGCTTTGAACATGTCTGGACTCGCCGATTATTTGGCCAAGAATTATCTCACAGCAGACTCGGAAAAGAAGTCGAAGAAGCGCAAGAGGAAGAACAAGGATGCCGGACTCATCATTGACGACGACGACAGTCTGGGCTGGAAAGACAAGGCAGATGACGACGACGAGGATGCGCCGATGATAGGTATGGACATTGTAATCTCTGCACGTTGCGCAAACTTGGCTCTAACAAATTACGCTACAGTCGGTGGAGGCACACTCAAAAAGTCCAAGAAGAAGTCCAAAGGCACCAATGCCGCAACATGGACAGCAGTGGGTGTCGCCGCGCCCTCCCACGCCGAACAACTCGCAGCCGATGCAGCTGCCGCCGACGCCATTATAGCAGGGACCGCTGCCGATCGCCAAAAAGCTGCTGAAGCCGAGGATGAAGCACCAGAGATGGTAGACACAGATGGCGTCATGAGGATGGAGTCCGGCGCAAAGGCAGGACTGCAAAGCGCCGCTGAGGTCGCGGCAGCAACGAAGAGAAAACAAGACGAGGACAAGCGCAAGGCCGAGGAGGTCGCAAAGGAATTGGGGGGCGCCGCGCAAGAAACCATTTACCGAGACGCCAGTGGTCGCATAATCAACGTCGCAATGAAGCGCGCAGAAGCGCGCAAAAAAGCCGAAGAAGAGGAGCGCATAAAGCGTGAAAAGGAAAAGGCAGCTCGCGGAGATGTACAGAACGCAGAGGCCCAGCGCAGGAAACAGCAGTTACAGGATGCAAAGACGATGACTATTGCGCGGTATGCAGATGATGCAGAACTCAACGACGAACTGAAAGAACGGGGGCACTGGAACGACCCGGCTTCAGGCTTTCTGCGCAAGAAAAAGGCTGGACGTAGTATTACAGGCAAGCCTCTGTACCAAGGACCATTCCAACCAAACCGGTACAACATCCGTCCAGGGCATCGGTGGGATGGCATCGATCGGGGAAATGGATTCGAGAAGCAGTGGTTTGACTCGAGAAACCGCAAAGCAAATATCGAGAAGCTGGAGTATCAATGGCAGATGGACGAGTAGGCTTCTGGACCTGTTCTTAGCAAGCTCTCCAGAGCTCTTGTAGGAACATGACATGGATATTGTTTGCATAGCGAGGCGTTCGGATTTATTACATATAAGACGCTGTAAGATATAGATCTATTGTCGTTTTCATGTTAGACCCTGTTACAATTTATTGGTATCTTGTGAATCGTAAAGTGATGTTGAGCGTGCGAGTCAGTCCATGCCCTCACATGACGTCGCGACGACTTTTTGTCCCGCTCGTAAGTTCCGACATCCCACTCGCGACAACGCGCCGGTGATGCGTTCCACCCTCCATGTCCCTCTCCAAGCATGCGAAGACATACTTGGTGAACTACTCAAAATATAAACACCTCAATGCGTTCAATTCGTTCGTCGAACCAGCCGTCCTCACACGCAACGATGCCACCAGATCGAATGTTGTCGGCGAACAAACCGCCTACAGCGTCACCGATAAGCCAATCGCGATAAAAGACAACATCTGCACAAAGCAATTAAAGACTACTGCATCGTCTGGAATGCTCAAAGATTTCATCAGCCCATACGATGCGACGGTGGTGAAGCTGCTCCAGGATGAGGGTGCCGTGGTCGTGGGCAAGACGAACATGGACGAGTTCGGCATGGGATCGCACTCGACACATTCGCATTTCGGACCGGTGAAGATGCAGAGATATGACGGAGAGGAAGCAAGTGTTGGAGGAAGCTCAGGCGGAAGTGCGCTCGCTGTCGCGACTTCGCAATGTTGGGCGTAAGTGTTTTATAGCCGACGATGATGGATTACGTGCTGAGACAATTAGTGCACTAGGTACCGATACTGGTGGCTCGGTACGGCTTCCTGCTGCGTACACGAGTGTCATTGGATTCAAGCCAAGCTACGGATTGATATCGAGATGGGGGGTGATTGCCTATGCCAACTCTCTTGATACTGTTGGAATATTTGGTAGGAACGTTGCGGGTGTGAAGCATATTTTCGGTGAGTTGATCGAGTTGCAACCTGCCAAATCCATATTCCTGACCAAACACAGACAAGCTCAACATCCACGATGCGCGTGACCCGACTTCGGTTTCCAATACCACCCGTGCGAAATTCCGTGCAGAAAGCCGACCAACTTCACTGAGGATAGGCGTCCCTCTCGATTACAACATTGACACACTGCAACCCGCTGTCCGGAAAGCCTGGCTCCTTCGACTCAGGCACTTGTGGGATCGTGGTCATACTTTGCATCCTGTCCGGCTGCCAACAACACAGCAAGCGCTATCAGCTTACTACGTCCTTGCACCAGCCGAGGCATCTAGCAATCTTGCAAAGTATGATGGAGTACGTTTCGGAAGTAGAGCACCAGGCATCGATGGAACACCAGACAGTGTCCTTTTTGCTAAGACTCGAGGTCAAGGTTTCGGTCCTGAAGTTCAGCGACGCATATTGCTTGGGGCTTTCTCACTCAGCGCTCAAGCCATGGACAACTACTTTATACAAGCGCAAAAGGTTCGCAGACTTGTACAACAAGACTTCAACCGAGTGTTTGCGTTACCAAACCCACTGTTCGATTCCGAGGTACCTTTGTCAAAGACTGAGGGTGTGGACGTGATTATATGCCCTACGGCACCATCAATGGCGCCATCATTGGCTGAAGTCAAGACACAGGACCCTTTGCACTCTTATATGAACGATGTCTTCACCGTTCCAGCTAGTCTTGCTGGACTACCAGCAATCACGCTTCCGACAGCCGCACCTTACAACGAGGAAAATTCGGAGAATTCAAAATCTTCCGACCCTTTCTTCAACACAGTAGGACTGCAAATCATTGGCCAGTATGGAGACGACCAACTCGTTCTCGATACTGCCAAAATAGTAGAGGAGATTACATCTACTCCGCAAAACCGTACCGGGCCTGAGGTGAATGCGTGGGGCAGCGGGCCCAAGTCGGATACATATAAAGAATAAGCTGAGTAGCTTACGAATAAGTTCATAAAGGTGCTAGAGCCATGCCGTCTTGATGCTGCTACTGCCCTATGCAAAATGAGTCGGACAGCGTCTGTACATACTTTTGTCCATGAGAAATATCCACTCGCTGCTAAGAAGAAATGCTTCGACACAGCTTCGTACATCCGGTAGACACAAGGTGGTAGATTGGGTAGTGGGCCTATTGTCCAATAAGTGAATCGATGCATATGCTGCGAAAGGGATGGACGAGTCAGCAGAGTGTATGTAAGTTGTCATTACACTTGTACATGTAAATCTTGTCGTCCGATGCAACAGCAAGTCTCTGTCGAAGTATCGAGTAATTATGGGCGAGGCAGCTGCTACGCTTAAGGAGAGTCTTTGAATGTCGATCTTCCAATGCACTTGCACTCAACGTTATCACAGTATCGTTTCATTTATACGAGCATCGCTTCCGCTAGATAACAAACCGTAGTAGAGGCATCTAGGGCAACCAGTAACACATGACTGATCCACTTGGACTATTGGGAAATGATGGCTGCTTTCTATGGACTACTAGTGCAGCAGTGTGCTCAAGTGTGGGGATAAGGTGTGTACATCTTGCCATGTACCTAGGTACCGCGGTAACCGCCATCCACTTATGTGTCAAAGACATCCGGACTAGATCTCTTGCTGGGAGTATCTGTTCGCTTAGACGCTGCTTCACTTACGTGGACGATACATCTCATGATGTACTATGCCACATGCCGTTTTATCAGGGTTACCTAGGCATGTCCCCACGAAAACTACGAGGCTCCTCCCCACGTGTTGCCCACTAGCTGCATCATAGCTCGAGTGACGGACCGTCGCGATTGGCTTTTCGGTTGAGCGCTATGCATCATCATCCGATCACGCGCTTGAATTTAGTGTAAGATCTAGATTCGTAGCAGGTACGTCACATCAACTGCATTCACAAGACTTAGGAGCCGAAGATTCTACCGGTAGAAAATGTAGTTCGGGTTTCAAGATTTGAGTTATGTGCACTATAACGAAGGTTCTGGAGGGTATGTACTACAAGCTGGCAGTTCCACATCGGGCACTGCCAAAGAGCGGGGAATACACCTGGGCAATATGCAGTGTAACCACCCGATTACCACGCAGCCAGTAGACGGTTGAGACGTAAGCACTCAATTAGAAGTCACTAAGCTTATCCCACGTTGACGGTGCCGTGCCCGTGCCGTTCCCTAAGGTCCAAGGCACCAGGCCAACGGGTCCTGTGAGCGATCTGCAGCATGTCTTACATGTGCAAGACGTCAACTCATACGCTAGAACATGGTAAGGAAGTGAATTCCGACGTTGTTCTCCATGTTAGTGGTCAGATCGCAACTTGGAGTGAAGCAAAGGTACAGTGGAGCTCACTATGGTGATGCGGCTGCAGCGGCAGATAGTGCCATGCCCAATACCATCGATGGATGCTCTTATCAGCCTGACGCTGTGAGAAAGCGTCCTTGCAACCGGCCCGATCAAGTATACCGGTAGATGCGGGAATTGTGCGAGAGGCCGCCTGAAGCGGTAACTCTCAACATCCAACACACCCAGTGTGGTGAGCCATGCTACCCTTCGCCGGTGAAGCTCCACCAACCAAGTGTTGCCTCCCTCTATCCCCTTTGTTTTGTATGGTCGACGACGAGCGTAGCGCACGCTTAAATGCGGAGTTGCGATAGACGGTCTGGGAGGGGGCCAGGAGGCAAGTAGTAGCAAGTCGATATGTCACTCTTCATCTGACCCCACCGCCATGGCCAGAGTCGCGCATGATCAAAGGGCTTGGTATCCACCGCCGCGTGGGTAAGTAACCTGTCGGGCGTCGCGAGCTGGCGACCAGCCGGTCTATATAAGTGTCTTGCCCTCAGCACCTTGATGGCTCATCACGCTCATCACTTTCACAATCTAACCATCCAAACCAACCAACCAACCAATCACCATCATCAAAATGGCTCCCTGGTACGTATTGCAACCAATCTTTGGTGTTTGGCACATACTGGTGTGCTCCAAGGTCGCTGCATCAGGGCTAGCGCCAGCACCGTGATGGACACTTTACTTGGAAGATGGAGGGGCTCTGGCTAACGGATTGAAACAGCAACTGCTCTACCTGCAAGTGCGCTGGTGACTGCTCCAGCTGCGGATGCGGATCCTGCTCCGTAAGTATACCCTACGATGCATCGATGCAGTGTTTCCACCTGTCCACTCAAATTGGCACTAACGTTGGGAAATAGCACTAAGCGTCAAACTACCCTGAATCTCGAATCTCTTCCAACAATAACACACCCATGGAGCGATTTGGACATGGAGCAATAGTATGGTTGGATGTCGGGGTGAACTGCCAATGTTAGGGTTACGACTGCTAGAAGTACCAGATGAGATATGACTATAAATCAATCTACATTCACTACAAGATTTGACCTTTGCACCGTGTTGTAAATGTCTGAACGAATTTGCTTGAGATTTTGGCAGGATCGGCAACTTGAGACATTGATATTGTTTTATTGCAGATGTTTGAAGAAAGACATAGAAAAGACATAGAAAAGACATTACCACTTTAGCAATCGATCCACCAGGACCATCACTCGAATCTTCTGAACGAGCATTAGAGTCATTTAAGAAACCATTTGTATTAGCGTGCAAAAGCCCCAAAATAGAGAAAGGGCTCAAACAATACAGGCAGGAAGGCAATAATACATATACAGTGTCAAGGGTGCTTCAAGCGCACCACTACCTCAAATATCAAGATGTTGACGAATGTCATCACCGAGCCTCCACTCCTCGTCCCTGGCCATATGATCAAGAGGACTTTGCACATCGTCTTCATCACTTCTTCGTGTACCAGTTGTACCCGCGTCGCTAACGACCGTAGCACCGCTGACACTACCGCTTGTGCTCTTGCTTCGCCTCTTCTTGAACCAACTCCTTTTGCTCTTTGTACTCGCTGCATCTGTATCAGAAGCTATCGACGCAGCATACTCGCGTCCGTCATCCTCGACTAGAGTAGGATCGGTGCTGGATGCTACACTGAGATTGGAGG